GGCTGCCCCTTCACTTTAGTTGTTTTAGTGGTGGCGGCGATGGGGCCTGCCACCGTCGTCCTTGCGGCCACGGCGACCATCCTTGTCATCATCCTTCTTGCCATCATCATCCTTGCGGCCACGGCGACCATCCTTGTCGTCGTCCTTGCGCCCACGCCGACCATCCTTGTCGTCGTCCTTCTTTCCGTCGTCATCCCCGCGGGGCCGTCGACGCCGTCGACCGTCCCTGTCATCCTTGTCATCTTTCTTGGGAGGATACACAGGGGTCGTGGTCTCATCTTCCTCTGTTGTCGTCTTGTACTCCTTGTCTGTCGTTGTGGGCTCTTCGGTGGTCGTCGTGGGCTCCTCGGTGGTTGTCGTGGACTCTTCGGTGGTCGTCGTGGGCTCCTCGGTGGTGGTCGTGGGCTCCGCGCTGGTGGTCTCCTCGGTGGTCGTTAGCTCCTCGGTGGTGGTCGTGGGCTCCTCGGTGGTCGTCTTCTCCTTCTTTGTGGTGGTCTTGTAGTCCGGTGGCGAACCACATTCATCACAGTACTCCTTCAAGGCATCTGCGATGGCATGCACATTGCCAAGGCACTTGGGCATGCAGAAGTCCTTTGGCGAGTTCAGTCCATCACAGAACTTGCCACAGACTGCTTTCTCGTCAAGGCAAGTAGTCGTGGCATTGACCTGTGTTAAAGCCAGTCGGCCTTGCTGGGGCCTTTGCAACAAGCCGATCGCTTCGGTCTCCTGGATGAAGCAAGTGTTCTTGGAGCAATAGTCCTGGCCGGCGGCAATCATGCTCTCGACAACGGCTTTGTGCCTGGTGCAATGCTTTGCGACGCACCAGTTTGCTTTTTGGCCTTTGCCTCCGAGCATGCCTTGACTGCAGACGATTCTGCATACCCATGCCGCCCCATCGCACTGACGCTCGTGCACTGGGATGTTAATCCCAGCCCAAGCTGGTAGAGCCAGGGAGGACAGCAAGAGGATCTGATGCGGCGTCATGGCTGGGCAGCGGTTCTGCTTCGGACTGTGCTGAACTTGGGCCTTTGCCAACAATACGTGGATCATCATTGCTAGGCTGCTAGGGTCTTGAGTTTGCATCGGGGCGGGGTTTGGTATGGGGTCAAGATGTGCCCTGTTGAATACGGAAGAAGTGCACAAAATCAGCAAGCAAGGGGTGCACATGGGCACCCTAGACCCAACGTCCCCACCTCGGCTTCTCTTCGCTCTTTGGCCTGTCGCAAGCGTGTGGCTCTTGGACTTTCCAGGCATTTTAGCAGCTTAGGGCATAGAGCTGTTTAGTTTTGCTTAGAGGTCTGGAGCTCAAGGTTCAACAAAAAATGGGAGTTTGCAGATTACGGCTCAAGGTGTTCAGAAGCTCGAGGCACACAGTACAGTGAGCATGGCCACTATGGATGCTTTGCTGGTATGAACATATGCACCATGGCACCCGACACCCTAAAGCGTAATGATGCGTTCGGTTGAGGGTATTTCCACTGTGCAGATGATGATCACATTGAAATCTAAGCTCGTGTGACTGTTGTGTGGCAGGCACTCTCTTTGATTGCTGACCAGGCCCATAGAGTGTAGATGCAAGACCTCTTATGCCCCCTTAGAACCATATTAAAGAATCCGCTCAATCATCCCTTGGAGATATGTATAAAAACCATATCCTAAGACCACCAAAGACCTAAACCCTCAACTCTAAACCCTAAGCCCAAAGCCTTCAAACCCCCAAAATGCGTCCGGGGTTTACATGGGAGATCCGAAAGCCTACTGTTGTCGGGGTTGTACCTTGTGCTTCAGGGGTCAGAACCTACTACTCTGGTAGGGCACCCTCCATTCCGATACCCCTGAACCCTAAACCCCTAAACCCTAACCCCCTGAACCCAAAACCCTAAACCCCTAACCCCTAAACCCTAATGCTGAGCCTCCAGCACGTGATGGGTATTCCTTCTAGGTAGCCTCAACTTATCTGTAGCCGAAAAGACCTACCTTCGTAGGATTTTAAGGTTTAGGGTTGAAAAAGTTAGGGCTTCTATGGGTAAGTCTTTTGAGCCACAGGTATAGCATAATATACTCCAACACCCTATTCTTACTATTAAGGCCCGCCATACTAAGCCCTTAAAGTTACCCTTATAGAACCCTTTTCAAGGAACCCTTTAAGGAAACCTATTGAATCTCCAAAACCGCGTAACCCCGCAGAATAGCAGGGTTCTTTAAAGGATTCTTTAAGAGTTGCCATTATAGGGCTTCGTACAGGGGCCTCAATCATCAGAAAAGGGCTTTGGAGTATATTATATTCTCCTGTAATTAAGTAGAATAGGGATCTCGAAAATGTAAGGCCCCTATATTCGCCTTCTCCCAGGAAACAAACCCTCAACAACAGCACCTAAGTCGCTGCTGAACCAACAATAGGAGCAGTCCACAGCTGAAACATCGTCAGCATCATCGACAACAGCATCATCAGGGTCATCATCACTGAACCACGTAAAGGGAAGCCTCTAGACTCTAAACCCTAAACCGTACACCCTACACCCTAAACCCTAAACCGTGACCTGCCTACCAGGGATTCGGGCTTGGGAGGTTTCAGAGCTTTCGCGTCAGCAGCTTAGTGCCACGTCACAGTGGAAGCAGTCGTCCTGGCCAGTCGTCGTCGTCGTTCTATTCCAGTAGCACAGAAGTATCAGCAACAGAATTCATATATATATATACATACATATATTCCAGCACCATACCGAATACTTCCAGCAGTTCAGCCATAGCTTTATAGGGCTCACTATGCTGAGGCATCCGCAAAGGGAGTGCGAAGTTTGAAGGAGGAACCCATTTTCCGGGTGACCTGTATGAAGAAACAGTTTAGCAGCTCTGTGCTTCAGTTCCCGTGCTGCGCACTTTAATAATCTGGTTCCGTTACTTGTCTGTAGTGCTAGTTGCCTGCAGGGCTTTGGAACTTAGGGCGTCTGGGTTTTTGGGTGAAAATTCTCGCTTGGGATTATGGGGTTTGGGGATCTTCGCCTGTAGTCTGGGATTCGTCCAAGGTCGGTCCACATTCTGCATCTCAGACCAGATTGGGTAGTTCTCCGGTTGTTAGGTCCCCATAATAGTACGGCACCCTTATAAAAGGGCCCCTAAAAGGGATCCTAATTTGGAGAACTACCCATATTTGTTGTCTGTACATTTGCGCCTCTGTTTGTACGTTGTCTTTGCAGCTATCGATGCTTAAGGGCTAAGTGATTCTCCTAAACCCTAAAACCTAAACCCTAAAATCCTAAAACCTAAACCGCGATTAAACCCTAAACCCTAAACCGTAATTAAACCCTAGACCCTAAACCCTAAACCTAAACCCTAAAACCATAGGGCCACTGCAGAGGTTCACTCCATCGTGGTTCCCGCCGAACCGCAGGATCTCACCAGCAACCAATCTCGCAGAAGTTAGCGCACTATTTAGAGTCTAGGGTGTAGGGTTTAGGGTTTAGGGTTTAGGTTATTGAGGGGATTCTCGCGTGTATTGTAGGGGCCTTAATAGTTACCTATATTATTTTTTGGGGGGTCCCTTGTTCTAATTACAGGAAAGAATACCCCAAGACCCTATTCTAAGTACTGAGGCCCCCTACATGTAGTATGGGGGGTGGGGCATCGATTTGAAGAGCGTGTTGGACGGGATACTTCTGTACAAGAGTACCTGGGGACCACATGATCCTTAGAAGTAAGGGGCCTTTTTTCCCCCTATACCATGAGTTTCTATACGGTATCTGAACCCTAAGCCAGTTTAGTGTACATTTCGTCCTTAAGGTATACCGAGGGGATGTGATTACTTCAGCTCCAAACCTCTGATGTCCCCAACCGACTCCCGTTCAAGATCATGAGGGTAGTTCTCTGAGTAAGGGTCCCTTTTGGGTCCCCCCCAAAATAGTACAGCACCCTTAAAAAAAGGACCCTCAAAGGGACCCTAATTTAGAGAGCTATCCATGGAGAGAGTTTCCGAGTCGACGAACCCCGGTTCTGGTTCCAGGTTTCTGAATGTTGGGGTTCAAGGTAAAGGTGGTAGTAGTAGTAGTAGTCGTCGCCGTCGTCGTCGTCGTCGTCGTAGAAGTCGTAGTAGCAGTAGTAGAGGGTCAAGGGCAGATAGACCCTAAATCCAAAACGTAGGTCCTAAACCCTTTATGGCTGCGGCTTCCATTCCTAGCTCTTCTTTGCGTGGCTTTGTGAAGGAGATGTGCCTTACCCGGACTTTTTTTCAGTTGGTGCTCCAGTCCTGGCTATCACCGGGCAGCTGGGTATTCAGGGTTTGACGGCCTCCCCGCTGCATCCCAGCACCTGAACCGATCCAGGCCACCCCACATCGCCAACCCTGGACACCCAAAAAGCCCTCAACCTCAGTACCGTGTCAGCTTACATCCTCATCTCACGCCCCAATTCCTCAGCCATGCTCTTCTACACGCAACGTCAAGGCAGTGAGTACATCAACTTGAGGGCAGTGCGTAGTTGTGCCTTTATCACTATGCAGCTAAACACTAAACGGCCCTAAACCCTAAGCCCTAAACCCTAAACCCTAAGCCCTAAGCCGGAACAGTGCGCGGCCTGGGCTCAATTGAGCCCCTGGCCTCCGAAGCTCTCAGCATTGCCATTAGTAGTTCAGTGGTGCCTAGCCATAGGCCCTCAAGTAGTTCCCTTTTGGGGATTACCTTATTCTAAATATAAACCACAAAAAAGGAACTACTTAGGGGCCTATGGGTAGGTTGTGTGTATGTTTTTCTGACAGCGTTCCCTCAGCGGAAATTCCTCAACAGCCTCCCGAAACGGGATGGCTGATTTGTACCTTCACTGCTATTGTGAGTTGGAAGGCCATTGCAGACATACTTATCCCTAACCCCCCAGGTACCTACTATATAGGGTACCAGAGCCCCTAGGGCCCTATATAGTAGGTACTTGGGGGGTTAGGGTATGTTACGTCAGACACCAGTTACGAAGTCCCAGTTCCAGGATCCTTCTAGCCCAACACCACGTAGAGCTCCCTTAGAAGGAACCCTGTAACGGACCGCTGAACAGACTAAGTCCCTAAACCCCCAAACCCTAAACCCCTGTAGATCCTATAGATCCCTTTTAAGGAACCCTTTTAAGGAATCCGTAAACCCTATAGATCCAAAGGCACGGCGCAGAGATCCGCCACTTCGGGAATGCGCGGCCAATCGTCGTCCGACGTCACAGGGAGTGCGCGGCCGGCATGTCAGTGGCAAGCGAAATATCAAGATGGAACACGTATTAGTGCGCCCTGATATCCCGCACAGAGAGAGAGAGAGAGATTGTTATGTGTATAAGTATATATATATACATATATGGATGTACACATATTTCAGCTCATACTGTTATGCTGCAACTGAATATACCGACTATCACCCATATCAAGATATACTATATACTGTACAGTACCTATATAACGATAGTAAGACTATGCCCCTCCCCCCCCCCCACCAAAAAAAGCAAGCTATTCTAATCCTCAGGAGGCTCCAAAAGTACTTTCGTACAGTGCACGTAAAGATTACATCGGCGTACAGGCATTGCATCGAAGCTTGCACGTTGTTTTGGCCACATCGCCGTTACATATCATTCAACGAGTCCTGCAACTATGGTTTCGGGCTTATAGTTTCGGGTTTACCTAGGGACCTAGAGTCTCCATTGTAGTTCCTTTTTTGGTTTAACCAGTTTTATAGTTAGGATCTTATAAGGTAACCCCCAAAAAAGGAACTACAATGGAGACTATAGGTATGCTTTCGGGTTGTAGGGTTGAGGGTTTAGGGCTTTATAAGACCGACTCCTGGAGCCGAACAGCACGAGAACCTTATCTTCGGCTGATCGCTTTATGTTGGGTTTAGGGTTTAGGGTATGTCACCTTAGAGCCTATCTAAACCATCATAGGTCCCTTAAAGGAACCCTCAAAGACGCCCTTGGAGGTAAGATCCTGCTGGCTCAAAGGCCGGCGGCCTAAACCCTGAACGCTA